CTTTCACACTATTTTCCTGATTTAAATAATCCCCTCAAGATAGATTTCGCTTAGTAGGAGAAAAATATGGGAACATTTATCCTGTCTACATGTTGTTCTTCCTTTTCCAAAAGGAGCTTTTACAATGCAATCCTAAACAAACATATGCCCTTGTAACCAGTGTTCCCTCTAAGCTGAGTTAGTGTGAGCTAGCTCACAGTTTTTTAGCCTCCAGCTCACACATTTTTGTCTTAGCTCAGGAAGGATGGCTCCAGAGCAAACTAATTTATGCAGCAGCCAAATCGCTCGCTCACAACTTTAATGCCAGGAGCTCATAAAGTATAATTTTTGCTCACAAGACTCCACAGCTTAGAGGGAACATTGCTTGTAAGCCTATTGAAGTCCATAGTATTAAAAACCTGTAATTCTGTTTAGGTGGATGGCTGCAACATTTTTGCTCTTTTCGCTGTGACCCGTTTATGTGTAACTTCTGCAAAGGCACCTCACTGTGGTGTTCTGGCATGACGTTGCATCTTTGCCTTCCTTATTTTTGCTATGTTATGCTGCCTCTTTGCCTTTCTTATTTTCGCTGCCATCAAAGGCTCTCACCTTAGAACTTTTAGTTGGACCCAAAAACAGGATGGCTTAGTTGTATATCATAGAGCAACAGAAAAGTCAATATGTGGGGTTGAATCTGAGGTAAAAGGGGATCCTTTAAAATAGTCATTTTTCTTGAACATAGAGTTTATTTTTAAGCATAGCAGCACAATGGTTTCTGTACGGCTAATAAGTGTAATTATTTCAAACAGGTACATAAGTGTAATGGTTCCTTAAATAGACCTTAACCATACAAGCCTATTTTCTCACTTGCCACTAAGGCCAATGACTTCTACAAAGCTTAATTTCCCAACGCCACTCAGGCTAATAGCTTCCATACAGAATACAAATTCTCTCACACTCTACAGCACCTCACTCAAGCTCCTTCTTCCACAACCACAGTGGTCAGCACGAAAGCCTCTCCTTGAATAAAACAGAACTCCACCCCTAAGGTACAGCCATCATCCAATCGTAACACACTTCACTCACCCATCCAGCCCCCTCTTTCTTGCTCTACAGACGTATATTTTAGATCACAAAATGAAAGAAAGGAGTTTACCTAAGGAATAGCTCAGCCCCACTTTGCCAACCGGACACAAGTAGCTTTGTATGAAAAAGTAAATAAAATCCATTAGCAGCCAATTGTTGAAAGAGTTGTGTCTGAAATGACACAAAAAATGACTTAGCAACCAGCTACTAGATGGATTGCAAAGGCTGTTTGAAAGGGGCCACAGTATTTAGAAGGCAAAACACTGCGACGACACTTCAAAATTGAGAAAACTGTGGGAGGGAATAAGTAAACAACCACATTCCTCCACATTACTTCTGTGATTAAATTTATCAGGTCCCCGCAACTGCACTCAGCTTTAAAAGATTGGAGATCAGTGACGACTTTCCTGATTTTAACCCTTAGTAATAACTCAAGAATTCTAGAAATCTTCTAGGAAGGAAAAATAATCCTAATACATTGTCATGTTATTCCAGCATGATTTTTTGTGGTCTAGGGACTAAATAACGTTTAATGTTCCTTCCAGTTCTGTGTTGATAATTGTCTAGTGTCATCAATGGGTTAACAGGACTGTTTCACAGAAGAGAATGAAAGCCTACAACTTTCACTGGGGGGGGGGGCAAGAGGAAATATAGCTCAGTGGCAACTGTATGTGTGTGTGTGATTTGAATACACCTCATCTGCACTGAGGCACAGAGACCAGATAAATTAGTTCTGAAAACTGAACATGGTGATTCAGCAACTTGCTGATACAATGTTATCTTGGCACTAAGAAACTCCTATAACACTACAAAAGCCTTCGAATCCCAGATTTCATTTCTGGAGTACACGGAGGATCAAGCTCAGTCTCTCTACACTCAGGCATTCCACCCCCAAACCAGAGAATCTTCCCACCTTTTATTTAGAAAAACCAAGTGAACCAAATCCATTTATCAACAAGTCACCCCCTTCCCCAAAGAACGCTGGCCTGAACAGCCATAAAGAGACGGTGCTAGTTATTTTTCTCTGGCTACCCATTGACAGGATTTATTAATCATTTGTTTATCTGATTCTTTTGAATCTGAATGCAACCTATGGGCATGCTAGGTTGTCAGGCAGCTAAAATAATGAAGCTTTGACCTAAGCATACACTACAGGAAGATAAATGAACAGAGGCTTTTATATAATCTGGGAAGATATTCTTGTAGCTTGGTTCTCCTTGTGCTCTAAGCACAACTGTCCTGTGTACAATGGTAATTCCTTTTGCTATGCTTCCTGCCTCACCAGAGATCCCAAGTCAAACCAATCAGCCACACTGGGGAATTCACTGACATTGGGGCAGAAAGAGGTGTAAATCAAAGTAAGAAGCAAGGGCAATACAGCACCTCACAAAACCTTTGGAGATTTCCACTTCATTACATTTGGATTTGCCCCTTTTAAGCCTCACAAAAAAGAGCAGTTCCTTTGTATAGTGCACTTAAGGTCTTCCATTCCCCTTTCCCACAGCATAAATTCATAATGGAACACAAACCAAGCGAAGTCATTTGCAGTTGGAAACAACCTCCTGGTCAAACAAAGTAACAAAAGGACAATTCCAAAGGTGGTTTTCCTGATCAACTTTAATTCATGAGTACAGCTGAATCTAGAAACAGATCTATCAAGCACAAAAGGCACCGATGAGAGAAACACAACATTTGTGAATTGGTCTGGGATCACGATATCCTCGAACAAGTTTAACCTGGTGAAAAAATCTTCCCAGAGGGAAAATACAAATCTGTACCTGAAGATGAGAAACAGATGTATTTCTCATAAATGACTCTTAAATTGGTCTGTGTGATTACCATTTCTAAAATTTAAATTTAAAACCATGATTGGACTAAATGTACAAGTTTGTTTTGTGGGTTTTGGTTTTAAAAAAATGCCTCTCTTCCATTTTCTGTCCTATCAGTTAACAACATGTGCAAGTGTCACATTCTGGGTCAAAAGGTATTTTTATCATATTAAAAGGTGCCCTTGCCTGCCCACAATGCAACACAGAGAATTGTTCCAGACAAATCAGCAGCAAAGAGAGCAGAACAGGGGTGCAGAAGACACCTCAGTCACACTTAGAGCCAAAATACATGTTACAAGTGGGGACCCACAAGTAGAACTGACTTCCAAATTGGCTGCATCATAATTTTTCAGTGCTGGTTCAAGAGATCATTCTTCAAGGGGCTTTGGAGCTTCCAGTCACTGATTTAATTGTAAATGGACATATCAACTACAAATGCAGAGAAAGAGCACTACCAAAGCTGACTCCAAAATGTCAAGCCTTCTTAAATTCCCTCTCCCTCAAAATATTACATGTTACATATAAAGCAAGGTTATAGGTACCATATCAGGAACATTTCTATTAATTCATATATTTCTAATCAGTCCTATAATTCTTCAGCAAGTTTCTTTTATGAACAGGTTTTGCAAATCCAACTCTGTCGTTTCCACGATCAAAAATACAATAAAAACCTGACATAAATACATCTCCCAGAATCCACGTTGGTATGTCGCCACTGCCAACTGCCATAGCCTGAAAACCAGAGACACACACCAGTTCCTCTCTTGTGCTTTCCTGTGGTACAAAAACAAGCATTTAAGTTTTGTGCTGAATTTCCCTGTGCAGAGCCAAAAGTGGGGGAACGTGGTTTGTGAACATATTGAGCGGACCTCTTTTTGGTGATTTTTCACAGGACTTTGAAATGTGAAGGTGTTTTAAGGATGGACTCTATGGTATTGAACCATGCTGAGGCCCCTCTCTTCCCCACACTCCACCCTCTCCTGGATCCACCCTCTCCTGGATCCACCCCCAAAGTTTCCAGGTATTTTCCAACACAGACCTGGCAAGCCTATCTACCATTCAAAGCAGCTATTTTCGCCATTTTCTCTATGTCATCTGGCATTCAGTTGTAATTCCAGAAGATATCCAGCTCTCACCTGGAGGTTGGCAACATTAGTTCCCCTGGAGGAAATGACTGTTTTGGAGGGTGAAGTCTATGGCATTATATCTCTCTGAAGTCACTCCCTGCCTCAATCCCCACCATCCCCAGGCTCCACCTCTCAAATATCCAGGAATTTCCCAACCTGGAGTTGGCATCCCTATCTCCTTACCCAACAGCCAACCTACCACTATCTGCCCCTCTGTCTTCAGCTTTCCGTCTCCTTTCCGCCTGCAGCTTCTACTGAGAAAAACTATGGTCTTTCTCCACAGTGGGAACTAAAGCAGTTTACATTATTCTTTCCTCCTTTTTATCCACACAACAACCCTATGAGGTAGGTTAGGTTGAAAGTATGTGACTGGTCCAAAATCACCCAGTGAGCTTCCACAGCAAGATGGGGATCTAAACCTGGGTCTCACAAACCATACTCTGAAGCTCTGACCATTATACTACACTGGCTTTCATAGGCTGGCTGCTGTTGAAAAGTAGCAAGCAGCCAGGCCTAGTTGAATCACGCAAATCAGGTGGTATCAAGTCACCCAGAGGGTGCTGCTAGGCCTAGGTTTGCCAACCTCCAGGTGGGTCCTGGAGATTCCCCAGATTTGTCCCCCTGGAGAAAATGGGTGGACTCTGTGGCATTATATCCAGCTGGGCCTCTCTCCTCCCCAAACTCTGAAGTCATAAGAACATAAGAACATAAGAGACGCCAATGTTGGATCAGGCCAAAGGCCCATCCAGTCCAACACTCTGTGTCACACAGTGGCCAGAAATACCAGTGCCATCAGGAGGTCCAGCAGTGGGGCCAGGACATTAGAAGCCCTCCCACTGTTGACCCCCCCCCCAAGCACCAAGAAGACAGAGCATCACTTGCCCCAGAGCCCCTCAGACTTTACTACAGAATCTTCAGGAATTTCCCAACCTGGAGCAGGCAATCCTAGTCCCACGCCTGGCTCCAAATCCCCTGCTATTTAGTCATTCATACTGCAGGAGGAATCCTCCCCAATCCAAGCTCCAGTTCTGCTTTTGCTTCCTGCCCCCCCCTCTCTCTCAGCCAGTCTCTCTCTGACTGCTGATGCACCCGGCTGGGCCTGGAGTAGATCCCTGTGGCGCCCATTTCAAAAGGTATTGGGAGGATTCAACCCTCCCTAAAGTTTTTTTAAAAAACTTTTGGGATTTTTCTGCAACCTCATGGAGTCCCCTGAGTCTGTAGAAAAACCTATTGCGGAAGAGTGTGCCCCCTATCTGCAGAAATAAGTATCCGCACGCAGTGGGGACTGTTGAGAATTAGATATATAGATGTTTGACATGCATTGGGAAGCTGGTGCCCGACCCAACTCACAGTGAAACATTAGAGTGGGGACAAACTTTTTAAAACTGTTAAATGTATCTTCATCACCCTGCATGGTTCTAAACACTGCAAAGGGGAAGGAGGAGCATCATATTTCCCTCCTGCAGTTTTCGCCAACAGAAATGTGCCCTGGGAATGGACACATGGCGCTAGAGAAAGGGGCAAACAGGCTCCCCCTGTTCCTGTTTCTACTGGGAAAACTGTGCTGAATGGAAGCAGGAAGCCCCTCCTCCCCCCTCACAGCATTTGGAGTTGCGCATGGCAACACTTACAAGGGTTTTTTAAAGTTAGTCCCTGCTCTCTCATTTGTTACAAGCTAGGTCAGGCACCTGTGTCCTTAAACAGGATTTTAAAACAACCACCTTTGGAGGCTGCATTGAGGCACTTAAAAAATAGAAAGACCAGTACACTTTGGGAGGACAATTTTCACCCCTTCTAAAAAACACTTTTCATGTTGAAAATCACTAAGAAAATTCAGCACAGCACTAATTTCCATTACATTTTGGAGATGTCCGGTTGTGAGAATTTAGATACATACCTTGATTATATACTGCTCTGGTGTTAAAGTGAATTCTTTCCCTGAGATAGTAAAGGTTATCTGAGGCAGGCTGGATAGTCTTCTGCAGTCTATAACATACTGTAACATAAAAGAATTTGTTTCTTGACTTGAGGGTTCTGTTGCTATTTGAACACATGCATCAGCCTTATCAAATGCTGCACAACTTTTGGGCATTTGGAGTGCTCGCTATCAAGGAATGATGGTATCGTAGGGCCTCTGTGGCTTGACTTTGGCATCTGGTAAACAGAGGCATGTGCTGCCTTTGAAGTGGACAAGACCATTTTTAGCTATGATGGCTAGCAGCCACTGATAAACCTGTCCTCTGTGGTAGAGAGACCGTCAGTGCACTCCTAAGAGCCAGTGAGCTTACGCAAAGGCTCATTCAGCATGAGGGCATCTTGGCACTGGTGCACTGTGCTGGAATGATCTAATCTCTGTACAGCACTTTCACCCACGGCCTCCATCTTCAGCACCAGTCTTTCTCCCATGCCATTTTCAAAAGCCTAATGCCTCCAGGTTTGGCCTCTTAAAAACAGTAGGGGGGACAGGAGCCCCTCCCCTGCCCCATGGTAGTCCCAAGCAGGACCTGGTCCTGTTGCGTTTGTAGAGTGAAGTGATTCCAGTGGTAGAATGGTGCTGACATCCCCAGGAGGTCCCCAGGGATGGTGTGCTGTCTAGTCTCTGGGTAGCACAGCTGTGCCAAACAAAATCCATTGTTCCAATTTAGTATGTACATGGAAGGGGCAGTAAAGGGATAGCCCTCCTACCTTTTTTAAACCCCAAGAGCTGTAGGTGTCGGCACAAAACTGAAGGGGCCAGACAGAGTTCACAGGCTGGGGACCCGTGCAGTGTTCCCTCTAAGCTGAGTTAATGTGCTAGCTCACAGTGTTTTAGCCTCAAGCTCACATTTTGTCTTAGCTCAGGAAGGATGGCTCCAGAGCAAACTAATTAATGCAGTAGCCAAATCGCTCACACACAACTTTAATACCAGTAGCTCACAAAGTAGAATTTTTGCTCACAAGACTCCACAGCTTAGAGGGAGCATTGGACCCATGATATGCAAGACTTGTAGGTTCACCTCTCTTCCTCTCGCATTCTGCTACTTCAGCACTGAGCTGAAGAGGTTTTAGGGGCCCCCCGGTTATCCTGAATGGAAATGATTCAAAGAATGACCTATTTGGCCCATTTCAACAGACCATTCCCACACCCTGAATTATTTGTTTATGGAATTCACAGGTTGGGTCCGGGATCCAAAACATTTCATACCCTGTGAATTCCATCAACCCTAAGAGGAGTGAGTGGAGTGGAAACAGGCATAGGACTGCCCCTCAGTAGCAACACCATTCACTAGTGGTGCAGGTTCAGATCATACCAGTTCATAGGGCTAAGATATCAAATCTACATAGATTGGTGGTTAAATGAAAAGCCACCAGTGAATATGGATAAACATAAATGGAATAAGTTCTATAAAAAGAGTTTAATAACTTCACGACTGAGTTCATGGCTTTGTTTTGTTTTCCTGAAAAGCACTTGGAATTTGTGAAATGCGTTGCAGGTCAACACTCCAGCACTAACACTTTCTCAAACTCATGACATTTCTTCAAATGATACCGCCAATCTGAAAGAGATTTCAGTGGAATTGGCAACTACATCAGTATGCTTTGGGTCACAGCAGACTGACACACTCCACAAGATGGCAGCATCTCCTTGCGCCACAACTCTGTGTGGGCTCAAAAAATGTCCCTTCTGGAGCAGAGAGAACCACTCTCCATTAAATCAAAAGACTAGCAGGAATTATGAGGTCTACTCAATTGAATGAAGAAATCAAAAAGGTTGCAGGATATTGTGAGGAAACAGACTGTTTAGAAGCTGAAGGTGGAACTCTTTCTGGTGACTTGCTGTCACAACTCTCAAGCAACCAGTGCAGGGCAGTGTTCCCTCTAACCTGAGTTAGTGTGAGCTAGCTCACAGTTTTTTAGCCTTCAGCTCACACATTTTTGTCTTGGCTCAGATCTTGTTTTCCCCATTCTCCCCAGCACCCCCCACAGATATGTTTACCTCTCCATACGGGGTTGGTGTGGCTCCAATATATTGCTGCAGTTTGATTATTTCTGTGAGTGGGCCAGTAATGAGAGAAGTACCCGAATCTACAATGGCGTTACAGCCATCCAAACATAATACTGGTTGTCCTTGGACTTTCACGCTGTATTATGGGGGAAGACAAGAAAGCAACACATAGGAATATACTTCAAATTGGCTGTAAGCTTGTGGAAAATCGCATTTATAAAAGTGAGCAAAACTATGTAGTCAACCCCAAAATTCTTATTCTTCAAAAATAAACAGCATCTTAACAGCATCTTAAAAACTTACACAATTTTATTCCAATGTAAGCTTTTGTGCACTAGAGCTCACTTCCTCCGATGCATTCAGTAGATACTCATTATGCAGACATTTCATAAAGGAGGTATTAAAAAAACAGTGGGGTCAAATTGCCTTGGAATGCAGGAAGCACAGGACAAAACAGAGTCACATACAAGACAGATCTAATCAATAAAAATATAAAGACCAATCACTAGCTATGCTAAGTTAGTTAACACCTGCAACCAGGAAAAATATAAATATCACCAAGAAAAATGCAAGCACCAGTTGCGCTGTCTTAGTTCACATAAGTGGTACAAGGTCCTCCACACCTAGATCCTTTTGCTGTCTGCTTGGCTGGTGGTCTGAAGCTTGGCGGAGACCACTGAGAGCAATGTTGTTGAGCCAGGGAATTTCAGTGCTCCTGGGGAGGGGAAAGTATAGCAGTGGGAGCAGGCAGAGTAGTAAGGGAAGGAGGCAGAGAAATAGGAGAGCCTGCGGCCCATCCCGAGGGATGTTGGCAGTGGGGCTAGGAAAAATAACCCCCCTCCGACACTGGTGTCGTGCAACGCCAGGTCTATAACTAACAAGACCATGGTCCTCAGGGACGTTCTGAAAGAGCAGAATGCAGACCTGGCATGTGTGACCGAGACCTGGGTGCAGGAGGGGGAGACTGTAGCTCTCTCCCAAATTGCCCCAGCTGGGTTCTCAGTCCATCACCAATCACGGACTAGGGGTGGGGGTGGGGTGGAGTGGCACTATTCATCCGGGAGGTTTACTCCTTTAGGGCGCTCCCACCTCCGAGAATCACAGGCATTGAGTGTGCCGGCCTGGTTTGGGAGGCTGGGGAGAGTTTGGTGATTTGGCTGGTGTACACATCGCCTAACGCACCAGCCAATAGCTTGCCGTCCCTGATGGAGGCCATAGCAGGGTGGGCATTAGAACACCCTAGATTGATAGTCTTACGTGACTTCAATGTCCATGCTGATGACACGACTTCTACTCAGACAGCGGACCTGATGTCGTCCATGGTGGCACTGGGACTCTCCCAATATGTAACGACCCCCACTCACCAGGTGGGGCACACGCTCGATTTGATCTTTGCGGCGTGGGTAACAGTGGATCGGGTTACTGCCTCGGCAGTCCCATGGTCTGACCACCATGTCCTAGGGGCCCACCTGAATGTTTCACTCCAACCCTGTTTAGGCGGCGAGTGTACCAGGGGAGAGGCGATCCTTGATTTGGTCCTAAGTAACACTCAAGACCTGGTGAGAGATGTAAAAGTGATTGCACCACTTGGGAACAGTGATCATAATGTTGTTGAGTTCAACATTTGTATAAATAGGGAATTGGCCAAAAAGACTGACACAACCACTTTTAACTTTAAAAGGGGTAACTTCTCTGATATGAGAGGACATGTGGGGAGGAAACTGAAAGGAAAAGTAGAAAGAGTCAAAACCATTGGGGAAGCTTGGAAACTATTTAAAACTACGATCCTAGAAGCGTAAAAAATATATATTCCGCAGGTTAGGAAAGGCACAAACAGGTATAGGAAAAAGCCTGCATGGTTAACAAACAAAGTAATTGAAGCTGTAAAAGGTAAAAAGGATTCCTTTAAGCAGTGGAATGTGGAGTCTGAATGGAAATCCAGCGAGGCACACCCGGGGTCAAAGTTCAGACTTCCCAAGTCAAAGTTCGAATTCCCACAGACACTACTCTGCCGGGAGAATTGGCAAGCAGGAAACAAGGTTTTCTGAGTTTGCATGAGACTGCTAAATTCCTCTTAGAACAATGAATTGCTGAGGGCACATAGGCTTTGCAACTTTCAAGGATGATTTGCCAGTGAGAAGAACATTCTGTATTCCTAACATAGAAAGCTTGATAATGTAACAATGTACAAATGAATGAGCTTGCTTTTCTTTCTGTTAATAAAAACGCTGCTGTGACACAGCCTGTCAGATGAACAGGGACAGTCGAGGAACAGAGAGAGCGACAGACAGAGCTGATCTGCAGCTTAAAGAAATCTGTGTGTTGTATGATTCTTGAACCCTACCAAAAGTCTTCAGTGGAAAGCTAGTCACAGTGAGGCTGATAAAACGGAACACAGGCTATGGCAAATAAAATGCAAGTCTGTGGTCAGGCAGGCAAAAAGGGAATATGAGGAGCATATAGCAAAAAACGTAAAAACCAACAATAAAACTTTCTTCAAATACATTAGAAGCAGGAAACCAGCCAGGGAGGCAGTGGGGCCCTTGGATGACCAAGGGGTAAAAGGAGTACTGAAGGATGATAGGGAAATGGCTGAGAAGCTAAATGCATTTTTGCCTCTGTCTTCACTGTGGAAGATGAGATGTGCTTGCCCACTCCAGAACCGCTAATTTCAGGAGGGGTGTTGAAAGACTTGAGTCAGATTGAGGTGACGAGAGAGGAGGTCCTAAAACTGATAGACAACTTAAAAACTGATAAATCACCAGGCCCAGATGGCATACATCCCAGAGTTCTGAAAGAACTCAAATGTGAACTTGTGGATCTCCTGAAAAAATATGTAATCTTTCCTTAAAATCTGCCTCCATTCCTGAGGACGGGAAGGTAGCTAATGTCACTCCCATCTTTAAAAAGGTTCCAGAGGAGATCCGGGAAATTACAGGCCAGTCAGTCTGACGTCGATACCGGGTAAATTGGTGGAAACCATTATTAAGGAAAGAATTAGTAGGCACATAGATGAACAAAACCTATTGAGGCAGACTCAGCATGGGTTCTGTAAGGGAAGATCTTGTCTCACTAACCTGTTAGTGTTCTTTGAGGGGGTGAACAAACATGTGGACAAGGGGGATCCAATAGATACTGTTTACCTTGACTTCCAGAAAGTCTGTATCAAAGGCAGGAACACTGCCTTTTTTCCTAATGACCCCTATTTTGAACCTTTTGGTGTTGACAGAGTTCTTGCTGGTTTCAGTGATCTTTGACTGAATTCTTTATCTCATGGAAAAGTTCCTCTTGAGTTCTTTTGGGATCTTTTTGTTTCTTCAAATAATTGACTGAAACATAATTGTAATCTTTTGTTCCTAAACTCACACTCACTTGGAGGTATGGCGTGTGTATGTCCTTCATTGCTGGCATATCTATATGGGAGATTGTCCCCTTTTCTACAATCTCACCCTAAGGTTTCTGTTTAAGTAGACTTACTTGTTGACTTCAATTTGCCAGTACTTTTTCTCGGTGACTTTAGCCCAGTGAATGAATCCTTTGTAGAGAGAATGGTCTATGCCCCCTAGGATCAATTCACCTCCATCTTCATTGTTGTCTCCACTAAAAAACAAAAAAGCCAGAGGTTTGGGTCCTATGGAAAAAGCTTGTGGAAAGAGCTGGCAAAACAGACCTTCTCTACCTTGCCTTTCTCCCGGCAGCCCTCTGCTCATCCTAACAATTCTCTGTCGGGCATATTGGGAGACCCTTGTAAACAAAATGTTCCATGGCATGGGAAGGGGGCTACAGTGAGGGATGAAACTGGGTGAAATCACCCCCTCTCTTCCACCAACAGCGGAGCAATTTCTCTTCCAGTTGGAGAGGGAAGAGGAGGAGGAGGAGGAGATGTTGCCTGATCCCACCCTTCACTGCAGTCCCCAGTGCTGCAGAATGTTGTGTTTATGAGGATCCTCAGGCTCCCAGGAGTGGATTTCAAAGCACAGTGACACATACTGGGAAAAAGGCAAGACGGGCATGAGCCAGTCTGCCAACTCTTTCTGCAAGTTTTTCCATTGAATCCAACCCATGATAATATATATTGATTAGATACACAAACAAAACATGCAATCATGGTGTCACGCGGAACTTAATAAAAATGAAATCCACTTTAACCTTCTTAGATAACAACAGGGCTCTAGTCGGGGGGGAGCTCTCAGGTACGGAGCTCCGGAAGAGAACCTCTAGGGGGCGGGGCAGTCACGTGGTGAAGCCCCGCCCCCTTCTTTACCCCGCCCTCTGCTTCGATCCTCATTCCGTTTGGGAATGAGGATGAAGCAGGAGGGTAAGTAGCCGGGCCTTCTGACACACTTCTGGTGATGTCAGGGGGTGTGGCCTTCTGTCACTTCCGGTGATGTCAGGGGGCGTGGCATATGCAAATAAGTTATGCTAATGAGTTATGCTAATGAGCTCCGGCAGCTCTTTTTCTACAACAAGACCCCTGGATAACAATATTAAGTCTTCATGTTTTCTGATTTTTTAAAAAGTGATAGATTATTAGAGATGGCAAAAGAAACAAAGCATTCACCAGGACAAATCAATATTTGGGTTTACAGATTGGTTTAAGATTTAAGTAGCTAGTCTTGAACAAAATTGTTGATACTAGATGAAATCACAATGCAATGATTTGTCTGCCATTACATCAAAGTTACCAAAACCATTCCTAAAATGCAACAGTCAGATGACATCAACAGGTACAACACCAGCAACAAATTTTAGTTGTAACTGCATCATAACATTTTCTTAAAGATCCACGGAAAACTCTTTAGAGATTATGCCCTGATCCATAGATTCTAGCACCCATCAGTAAGTGGCACATGTGCCGTAGGAGCTGTGCATATTCACAGTGATGGCGCTGTTAGCTTGGTAGTATAGAGGGTGTAGCATGGATCTGTTTTTCCCCAACAAATGTTCAGTGCTGCTAGTTACGATGGAAGACTTAAACAGGAGGATGAAGGACTTTTCATTACCTGCAGCATCTTTGGGGGTTACTAATGGCACCCAGGAAAGTGATCCATGGATGAGAACCAGTTGCCATGCATGGACCATCCTGGATGAACCATGGGGAAAATGCAATTACAGGCATAGTGAAACAAATGCAGAAATAAATGTATCCTTCCTGATTAAAAGCTTTGTACTCAAGGAATTCCTCTACACATGGGCTTCCTTTTCTCTTGGGCTCCCTCAGTGAATGAGCTGGAACTTTGTGATCCGAGATGTTCTGTGTCAACCAGGGAGGGGAATCTTGAGACACATCTGCCAGTGGAAGAAGACCAGGACTGAACTTCTGTTTCCTGTCCTGCCATAAGTATTTAAGCCTCAGTGTGGCCAGAGGCACACGCCTTTTGGCAAGAACTAGAGCGGTCTTGCCCATGGCTCACAGCCTGAATGAAATAGCCTGGTGGATCTGGGACCAGTACAGCAGTTGGAGGTGTTCTGTGTACATTGTTGTAGTTGCTGCCAATTGTCTAAATTATATTTTGAATCCCCAGTGAGGAGAAAAGCAGGATCAAAATGCATAAATAAATTGGAGTCCCTGCCCATGTTCAATATTCATCTTCTGTCAAAAAGGTTGCCAACCTCCAGAGTTCTCCTAGAATTATAACTGCTCTCCAGACTACGGAGATCAGTTCCCCTGGAGAAAATGGCAGCGTCAGAGGGTGGACTCCACAGCGTCACATCCCTGCTGCTGAGTTCCCTCACCTCCCTGCCTCTAAATCTCCAGGAATCCCCCAGCCTGGAGCTGGCAACCTTCTGTCAAGTACTTCCTTTAAAACTATACTGAGAAAATGATAGCTGTTCTTTTCACTGTATACTACTGACCGGTTCAAGATGAACGAGAACACAGGCTCCTCTAGCAGCTCTTGTTTCATCATATTGTCAAATACTGGAAGTTCGCTCCCAACAGCCAAAGATGGATAGGCCAAGCCCATCACCCCATCAAACTGGGCAAAGACAAAGGTCAAGCCAGGCTCAAAGACTGACTCGCCAAAGTCCTGGGCCTCAACAGAAATGTTGCTGATCTGTTCATTTATTTGCCAAAGAGAAACAATACAAAAAGTGAACAATTACATTGTTGCTTTGTGACAGATTATTTATTTAGTTCAAGGCAATTATTTTTACAATTAATATCTTATTTATGCTACAAAGTTATAAGGAATGAAAAGCATCATCCATTTTCATAGCCAAGTGTTCGTTCCAACCCCAACCCAGAAGGTTGTGCCCCCTTCCCACTGCAGCTCTCTCCCCTTAGCACATTCCACACCTTCCAAAAAGGTCCCCTGACTCTCAGTGGCTTTTCAGGGGGAAAAGAAGAAGAAGAAGAGAAGAAAAGATTGGATTTATACCCCACCCGTCACTACCAAAAGGAGTCTCAGAGCGGCTTACAAACTCCTTTCCCTTCCCCTCCCCACAACAGACACCCTGTGAGGTGGGTGGGGCTGAGAGAACTCTGACAGAAATTGCTCTTTTTCAAGAACAGCTGTGCCAGAACTATGGCTTGTCCAAGGTCATCCAGCAGGTGCAAGTGGAGGAGTGGGGAATCAAACCCGGTTCTCCCAGATTAGAGTCCGCACCAAAAGAAGTCATCCAATGTATTATATTTTATCCCAGTCATACTCTGTGGGGCACAGGATGATATACAACCTTGAAAAGGGCTTTGTTGCTACTAGAAATGAAAGACTATGCAATGTTTTTGTACAGAGCATACCAGTACTCTGGACAGGGCAGCAGAGCTAGCAAGCTAGATAGGTCAGTTTCTTCTGTATCCTTTCTGTTGCTGGCTGTGCTGCTAGAGTTGCCGCCTCTAGGCTGAGAGATTCCTGGAGATTTGGGGGGGTGGAACCTGGGGAGGGAACTCAAGAGCGTATAATACCATAGAGTCTACCACCCAAAATTTTCTCCCAGAGAGTTGTGCTCTGCCACCTAGAGATCAGGTATAATTCGGGGGGGGGGGGGGGGTCCCTAGGGCCCATCTGGAGGTTGGCAACCCTAGAAGGCTACTCTTAGGGATGTCCTTCTGTCCACCTAACTCTTTATCTTCCTACTTCTTCACCTAACCTCCATCAGGGCAAAATGTGCTCTCAGTATCTCTCTCCATCCTAGCCATGAAAGATAGCTAGAAAGCTGGTTCTTCCTTTCCTGTCACAGTATGAAGAGGACATCCATTTCTTTCCCAAGGAGATCTTGTGTGGATTTTATTCCTAAGGCAGCCTCCCTCTTCTGTTAGGCAAATCAGTGCTAAACTTAACAGTTTCTCACAGAACTGATATAATTCATTCAGTTTTCCCCATATATGCCATTAAGAAAAAGACTGAGGGGGCGAGATCTTAAGTTTGCATACAAGTTACAAGTTACAAAAAAAAACCACAAACCATTTGGTGTATAAACTTTTTGACCTGTCACACAGGCTGTTGTTGCCCCCACTTGCCCCAGTGGTTGCCATTTCAAGTCTCTTTTCATGGTCATGATCCTGACCAGCAGTTAAATCTCTGAATTACTAGTTAATGCCATCAACTGTACTACCAACAAATTGCACAAAAACAGAAGAATTGAAAGCGACAACAATTAAGAGTTTCACTCACCTTTACTGTTTCTTTGGCAGAGATGCCCAGCAGTTGCCCAGTACCATATTGTAAAAAAAAAGGTTGTCCAACGTGTACATATGTTTGTGAAAGAAATGACTTGAAATTTGGACGGTTTTCTGTGAAAACAGAGCCCACTCTTAACCTGGCATGACTTCCCCAATTTAAAATGTAACTTTTAGAAACTTGTTTTTCAAATGTTCCTCACAAAAATGAGAAAGACCAGGAGAAATGTAGGTTCAATCTTATCTAGAGGCAAAACTACAAGATATATATTTTTTCACTTGTATCTGCAGCCTCAGAGTAGCTGGGGAGAACTGCTTCTAAAAGGGAAAAGGGGGGGAGCCCAGATGGGCTTGGAACAGCACTACAGGAGGGGGAAGGTCTCCTGCCTCTGCCCCCCCCCCCCAACAAATACTGCATGGTGGGAATTATTTTATTTTTCACATGTTTATTAAATAATTATTTATTTAATTAATTTTTCACATTTATACTTCGCCCTCCCCGTCAAGTGGACAAGTGGGAGTCAAGCCTTAATACCTTCCTCATTGGGTTGCCCCGAGCAGTTGCTTGAGTGGCTTGATTGGAGAAGCAGCCCAGATAGGGCAGAACCACAGTCCATATCTGGGCTTTAAATAATTCAGATGCAAATGGCTGGGCCGATCCAGCCCCACTGTCATAATGGATGGTGTCTTGTCCAGCCCTATTGCCTTTCTATTTCTTTCTGCTCATACTATGGCTTTAGAACAAAACAGGGACCATTCCAACACATTTGGCACTCAGTGTCACTTTCTGAAGTGATCCAATGAGTATACACTGGGGAAGTTACATCACAGTCACATCACAAGAGGAAATTCAGATCCTGCATGTGCACGCATTTGTCCTGCAAAATATTTTGCGCTGCAGTTTAAATCATCAGGAAGGGGGAATGGCCCTACCAAATGTTTTATTACCAGGGGTCATTTCAAGCAGGAACGGGCAGGAATGGCGTTCCGGGAGTAACAAGTAAACTCCTCCCCCCTCCTTTCCCATCACGTCACCTCCAAGCAGGGCGAAGGGAAAGGGGGGGGGAGAGAGAAAGGGAGTCCAGGGCTTCTTCTGCTTGACAGAGGGGCTAGCACGCCAGCCCCCCTGGCAGGCAGAAGCACCTGGGATCCATTCCTTCCCCCCCTCCTTTCCCATCACAAGGCGAAGGGAAAGGGGGGGGGAGAAAGGGAACCAGCAGAAGCTTCTGCATGACAGTGGGGCCAGTGCTGGCCCTGCTGTCAGAAAGAAACATCTGAAAGGAGAATGCCACCTCTGCTGAGCTACTCCAAAGACTGAGGGGGTTTAAAGTTTAAATCCACCCTCTCTGGAGTTGTGCCACAGTGGCGGCATGCTCCCATCATTGAAGGGAAGGCAATTTGCTTCAATGATGGGAGCCTGCCACTGTCTCACACCCACACCCCTCTGCAACTGGGGAGGATCATTATACCCTATGGAAACAGTCCCCGATCTGGTCCGGATCTTCCTCAGCTAAGAATGTTTTCTCATGAAGATGTTTTTGGCTGATGAGATCAAAATATTTTGGTGATTCGAACATGACTGAATGGCTAACAACAACATTTTTAATTTCAGAAGTTCTGTCTGTCTTGTTTGTTTATGGATCCAACTATCCACAAATTTGGCCATGTCAAGGATTAAATAGATTTATTATGATTTATACTTTGATTTTGTCAGCCAAAAACATCTTCATGAGAAAACATTGTTAGCTGTGGAAGATTCAGACCAGTAGGGAAGTACCTAGCCAACTGCCGTCCATCATCGATGGCAGCTGAAAATACATTGTGTCAACCCTCACCCATAATAGAAGCAGCACCTGTAACTATATGAAAGGAATTCTCTCAGTGGCCATTGTTTGTCAACCACAGCAGTATTTCCAGCCTTCAAGCATTTGTTTCTGTCAGTAAAATGTAGGGGGAGAGAGCATGTCAGACCTGACAGCAGCCACTGGACAACTTGACACCATGCAACTTGCATAACTCATACAGGCCCAGCTGCTTGCTACTGCTCAACAGCCACTGCCCCATGAAGTATTGTGTAGTGGTTAGTGTTCCAGACAATGATTTGGGAGACCCAGGTTTGAATCTGAGTTGGGAAATACCTGGAGATTTTTTGGGTGGAGCCTGAGCAGTGGGTGTTGCCTTCTGACACACTTCTGGTGATGTCAGGGGATGTGACATATGCAAATAAGTTTTGCTAATGAGTTATGCTAATGAGCTCCTGCACCTCTTTTTCTACGAAATGACCCCAGTATACAGCTATGGAGTTCCCATGAGTAACCATTCCACATGTGTGTCCTCATAGATGCCTTCAAAAGTCATTCTGAGTGATAAACATCATGTTGGAATTAGTCCCTTGTCCATCACAACATGCCAAGAACAGAGGGCTTCATTTAACGTGGGGAACTCAAGTCACTCCCAGAGTTAAAGATGGACTATGTGGAGACTACTTTTTCTCTTGCAAAAAGATGGATCCAGGAATGTTCCTCACCCACCCCAAGGACAACATCATATCTCCTTAACTGAGACCCTAAGGTAAAAATTAAGGATAGATATGTTTAAGTTCCTGCCTAAGTTTTACACTCATCACTCGTAGCACAGTAGAAGTCCTCAATAAAGGTAAGAATTCCTTATCTAGGAGTCCTGCAAGAACGAGGACAATAATCAAACCTATAAAGAAGATCCAGAGAGTATTTAGATACAATGGATTGTATCCAACCTGACTTCCTACTGATGAAAAGGGAAGGAAGCATTCTCTTTAACCAAGCAGAAAAGCTATGCAGGGAGGAGGAGGAGGAGAGGAGAGGAGATTCGATTTATACCTCGCCCTTCCCTACCCAAAGGTGTCTCAGAGCGGCTTACAAACTCCTTTCCCTTCCCCTCCCCACAACAGACACCCTGTGAGGTAGGTGGGGCTGAGAGAACTCTGACAGAAACTGTTCTTTTTTCAAGAACCTCTGTGCCAGAATTATGGCTTGCCCAATTCATCCAGCCAGGTGGAAGTGGAGGAGTGGGGAATCAAACCCGGTTCTCCCAGATTAGAGTCTGCGCACTTAACCACTACACCAAACTGGCTCTCCATAGGCCACAGGACCAGCATGTACAAAAGCCATGTGAGGCTGTAGTGGAACTGGGTAAAAGTGAGTGAAAAAGCTGCTAGAATCCAATCCCATATCTATACATCAATGACTAACAAAATCTACTTATATACAGAGGCAAACCCCAACACTTTGGGCAGAATATAATAATGGTATTTATGTAGTATTACAATATTATGAAAATCAGCAACCCTGTATATCCAAGGCAAATTGTGGGAGGGGCTGAGTGAGGAGGGGAGTGACATCATGGCTGCATTCAGACATCACAATAAACTGTGGTTTGTTTAAACCATCATTTGGGGAACAAACTCTACTCTGTCTTCCAAATGTATACATCAGATTCCATTTTGTTGATATGCTCTTTACTACTTTGGAGGGAGGCCATGTTCCCTCTCCAGCTGCCTCTGTGGCCAGGTGGCTAGGAAGACTGATACTCCAACACAACAGATTACATCATCCTAAAAACAAAGCTCAAAGGGGCACCTACACACTGAATATTGTAACCCAGGTATCTCTGCTATTTGATCTCCCAGAGTCAAATTCAACACATTGTCTCACTCTTTAAGTGTTGTATTGTTGAAAATGCTCAGTTCCAGGCATGCCATATGAGAACTTTGCAGAACTTCTTATTGGACAGTTTAATAATAATTGACATGAAGAATTTACTTCAATTGCTCAGTAGCAATGACTTCCTGGTTGGGATCACCATTCAGAACAAATGTGTCTCTCTCCAAATCACAAAATTGTTAAAAATAACAAGCAAATATGCATTCCTATGCATCATATGCATAGAATTCCTAAGGGGGTGGGCTTCCCCTTTCACTGTGATATGTGGGCCAGCTGCAGGCATGTACCCATGTGTACAACTCCGGTGACTCTGAAAGTAGCATACGAAGAAGCTACACATTTGCATTGGAGCTCATATGCCTACAAGAGATTACAGAAGTGAGGCAATAAATTTTGGTGCAGAATTTGGCAATTTCTTGGAACTGGTTTCTCCTTTCTACTGCAGACCCCTTCGGAGTCCCCTATCCCTCAAGTATTTCGTGGAGATCAGTGGACTGTAGTGGAAGGGGAGGGGCAGAAAAGTTCTGTTCCACTGCTAATGAAAAATCTAGTGAGGATTCAGCCCTCTGGTAAATATTCTGTGCTACCTTCCCTCTGACTGGCTGTCTGAACTCAACTGGCAAGCTCTTCCATTCCTCCAATCTACCTGTCACTCCAATTCTTGAGAACAACCCTCCTAAATTGTCTTTCATTTGTGTTTACTCAAGGCAGAATTTGTAATTAGAGGGTTCTGCTGCTTCAGAACATTAAATGATATCATAATTCTTACTGCAAGCCTCGCTCGTACAATAACAGGATGGAATCCAAAAGTTGGAGGAGCCAGTGTCAAACACCACGGTGAATGTCTGAGGTGGAGTGCCAACACTCACCACTCCATAATACTGAGCCTAGAGGGGGAAAAAATCAGTCAGTTTAATATTCAGTTCCCTCCCGACATACAACTGAAGTCAATGCTCGTTGCTGACACAAAAAACCCTGCTGGTGCAAGTAATAGAACAATTTAGATGTGAAAGCTGCACAGCTATTTAGATGTCGTCTATCTTATCTACACCAAACTTTGCGGCTCAATTTAAAAATGCACATTAGAAGTATAAAATGGTCAGCAAAATGGTAAGGCAGATCAGAAAGGTGGGTCGCTAGCAATTGTACATGATCAGATCCCCAACTGATGAAAGAGCACATCTCAGATTTCAAATGTGGTTTGATTAGTGCATAGAAAAGGAGCTACACGAGAAAGAAATATTCCCTCAGCATTACTTAAATGATTGAATTGTACTCTCCATGGAGAAACATGGGACAAAGATGTTGATTTCTGATCCCAAGATTGTTTTCTTCAAAGACTTGCATCAGAGAACATTCATCATCTGTGAGAGTGAATTTAACACAACATTATGGGTTGAATGGCATAGATCCTCTCCCATCAAATGGAGAGGAAGGAATACGATGAAAGAAAAGGCATCACCTTGACTGTCTCCTCTCACTTTAGAACAGCAGGGTAAATCCCTGCTGTCTATTTTCTTCTAGCCCAAGCTTTGCAGCTAGAACCCTGACTGTTCATTGGCTATCTCTTAGCACCTTTTTCCGTCACTCCTGCAAAGGGAAACATAATAGCCCATCTGATCAGGATGAGGAAAAAACAGACCCACTGAAAACCCATTGCCTGTTCATTGAAGCTGGTTGTGAAAGACTCATCACTTGTTTATTTTATCTGAAATATTTATATGCCATCTTTCCACTCGAATAGGGTTCACAAGGCGGTGAAAATTAAGGTATTAGACAATTTAAAACATGAAAGAAAAAATATGATAAATGATAGACAATACAAGTGGGGACCTTTGAGAAACTTGTAGGAGCAGCTATCCCATTCCCCCCACCTTTACTTCCTCCCCTCAGTCCCCTGCTTCTCTCACACGCTTGCTCCCTCCTGCCACCCCTTTTCTTACTCTTTCTGCCCTCCATGCCTTTCGCTTTCTCTCTCTTTTTTCTGTCCCCCCATCACTCTCCAGGCCTCTCTTTTGCTTCCCCCCCCCCAGCTGCAGCAGTGGCAGCCATGGTCCCAGCTGCCCACCTGATTCACCTCCCCCCCCACACACACAACAGCAGTGTCAGTGGCGACGCTCCAGGTACCACAATGGACCTCCCAACCACAGAGATCAGTTCCCCTTAGGGTTGCCAGATCCAGGTTGGGAAATTTCTGGAGATTTACCCTGCTGGAGATTTACCCTACTGGAGATATACCCTACTGAGGTTGCTTACCTCCCCAAGCCTCACTGTCCCAAGACTGGGACAACTGTTGCAGTTGTCATTCATGCATGGTGGCAAAACTATTTGTTATGTGTATTCATTTTGGTTGTAAGTAGAACTGTATAAGACAGTAGTCTCTAGTGTGATTTGTACAGCGCGGCAGATTGTTCTGTTCATTTGTTTGTATCATTGCATTTGCTGTATTTCCATTTTTGTGTGTTTGTTAGCCCAATTGGGGATTAGCAGCCCTACCAGCATGTCTCCAGGCCTCTGCTGCTGGGCCTGTGATGACTCTCAAAGCCCCTCTGCCCTCAGGGTTTCTGCTGCTGTGCACCCATCTCCTGCCCCCACCATTGATCTTGGAGAGGCCAGCATGGCTCCAGGCCTCTGCTGCCAGCCAGAGAGACTTGTGGGGGAGGGGAATCCCATATCCCCCACTTTCTCACTGGTGTGACCCCCCCACTGTGGCCTCTGGCTGTGGCCTCCACCCCACTGTGGACCCTGGCTGCAGTTCAGATCCTGAGGCAACCTGAGTCATCATTTGGCTCGCTAAAACCATGTCTTATTTGGCCTTTGTATGATTTGATTCTGTTTGTCTTCTGCAGTAAGCATGTGTGCACCTCCAGAATGCATGACTTTAACTTAAACCATATAGTTTAAAATATAAACAAGAAGTTCAAGCTCACCTTTATTAAGAAATTATTCGTATGCCTTGTTACATGGTAATTATTTCCATGCACAGAGAGTAGTTGAAAGATGTAAGTGTTGTAAGACGGCAAGTGGAGTAGTTGTAGTTCGGGTGTCTCTAGGCAAGCAGTAGATTTAAATAAACACATCCCTTCATGAGAGACTGGGATCCATTCTTGAGGGAGACTGAAGGATCTTTTCTAAGCCCCACTATGACAAGTGTCAGTGAGGATGAGATCCCAACAGGTATCCCACCATAGCAGGAGAGAAAATAAGCTCCTCTTTGTCGTAATAGAGTTTAGAAAGATCCTCAGATCTTTGGAGAATCTAGAGGATCTTTCTAAATACCACTGTTTCAAAAAGGATCCCTTCTCCCTCCTGCTCCAGTGGAAAAGGTGGTAGAGTCCAGCCTGAAATAGGAAAAAGGGGTATAGCACAGAAAGCCCCTGCATCCATGTTCCCTTTCTGACTACTGCAGTGGAATTCAGGACCGTACATTGCATGAGATTCAGCACTGTTTATATACAAATGTGTTTCTATGATAAACATCACTAAGTAATGCTGAAAGAACTTTTCCTTCATGGTTTTGTTGTACTATGTTAAATGTCTGATTGTATTCAGAAGCCAATCAAGGAATACCTTAACACCAAGAGCTAATCTCTGTGCACTGGCGAACTTTGAGCGAAGGACTCAGTTTTCACCCCCATATCAGACTGTGGAGCCGCGCAGCAGCGTCTCACATTCTATTTTTAGGAATGGCCATTTCTGGGCCCCACTGCAGGCTGTGAAGTGACATTTTGTGTCCAAAACAGATTCAGCATTTTCACTATTGATGTCTGGTTGATATTTTCATTGCTTTTCTGGATAATTTATGATTTGCGTATTTCATTGGTTCAGCAAAGTCTAAACCAAACAAACAAACAAACAAAATCACCAGATTTCCACTCCTTTAGATAAATCAAGAGCTTTATTTCCAGCTTCTAAAAAGAATGAGTGAGTGAGTGAGTGAGTGAGTGAGTGAGTGAGTGAGTGAGTGAGTGAACAAATGCATAGAAGGAGCAAACGGGGGGGGGAGTCACTTTGGCAAAGATGCTTCCAGACATCTTTATTTAAAAAAAAAATCCTGCCCCTTCTCATTCAAAAGGATGCTGTTTTCCATCCCTTTGCATTTTTCCATGTTAAAGGATAGAGCTGCTTGTTTCATGCACATAAAATAGAATATCCTCATCCAGTTGCTTCAGTAACTTACGCTCATAAGCCATTTCAAGACCCTTGTCCAAAGGCAGCCATTTCCAGACTAAACTTCTGTTATATTTGAAGAAACATCATTTCTAAAAAGTCAACCCATCTTAAACATCATCCCTTGGAACCCCAATTTTGTCCTAAGAATGAACTGATTACCTTAATTCAACATAAATTTATAGCATGATAAAATTACTTCAGGTGGGTTCAGTACTGGTTTTTCTTGGCATAAAATGGGTGCCAGTCCACCAATTATTTCTATGTTATTCAGATACAGTAGAATCTGGATTAATTACGAATTCCAATAGAAAAACATAGGTGCCAATTCTATCCTGATTTCATTTAAGGTTCCTGGATGCATATTTAGAAAATGGGATGTGGACATGCCCAGCATATATGTTTGTAAGGTAAAGGTAAAGGTTCCCTTGCTCGAAAGCCAGTCGAATCCGACTCTAGGGTTGCGGTGCTCATCTCCGTTTCAAAGCCGAAGAGCCAGCGCTGTCTGCAGACGTTTCCGTGGTCATGTGGCCGGCATGACTAAACACCAAGGTGCACGGAACGCTGTTACCTTCCCACCGAAGTGGTCCCTATTTATCTACTTGCAATTTCTTGCTTTCGAACTGCTAGGTTGGCAGGAGCTGGAACTAGAGACAGGAGCTCACCCTGTCTTGCGGCACCCGGGTCTTGAACCGCTGAACTACTGACCTTCCACAGCCTGCAGTTCAGTGTCTTAACCACTTGAGCCACCGCAAGAATTCATATCTTCCAAAGTTCATAGCAAAGGGCAGATTTGTCAAGCTACCCTGGGGGAGATACTGCCTGTATTCTTTTTCATTGTATTATGGATGAACATACTCACATTCATGTAATCATGGAGTTTTTCTGTTGTGAATCCCACTAATGAATCTGGAGGGTAGCAATGCAGGTATCTTTGTGCAAAAATGTCAGCCTGATGATCTTTCATGAACTGATAGAATTCTCCTCTTGCTCGAAGCTGTTGCTTGATAGATGGAGATCGAATCAGAGGGATCCTGTGGCATAAATACATTTTTTTTTGGTGCAGCATATAGTTCTTACCAGATGCCAGGATTTGTACAGTTCTATTTTGAATGTTAATAGGCAAAAGGGACACAATTCACCAAGTGTGTCTCCTGCAGAAGCCTTATTTAAATGAATGGGAGTCGTGAAAGTGTCTGAATGTGACCTTATGCGGTTTCTGTTCATTTCAGTGTGGCCTGTGGTAGAAATGTACTTAGTGGATTTTTCCAGATGTTTGGATCTAGGACCATCCTGCACTAAACATGTACAACTTGCAAATACCACAAGTATCTTTAAATAAGATTTTGAAGTAACAGACAGGATGCCTTCACAAAAACTTCTCGCATTAATCCACATCCTAGTTACAACCAGGCTATCTTGTACCGCAGTGAACTCTGTGTGGATCTGCCTTTAAAGACAGCTTGGAAACCACATCTGGTTGAGAATACAGCAACTGGTGTATTGACAGGGGAGCCTGTTTCTTCAATCATCAAAGCTCTTCAAGACTTTATAGTTTGTTTCTGAGCATGTCAAGAGCTGGTATTGACAATAAATTCATAAACAGCTTATGGCCACTCACTCACAGATGAATCTACCCTACAGTGAAGATAATCTCCTTCAGGAAAGGGATTCCCCCCTCCCCCCTGTGGCACCCTAATTATAGAATTCCATCTTTCTTTACATTTGCCTGATGCCATTGTTATAATCATTGCACCAAGTGAAGTCCATCCTGTTCATCTATGCAAATCTTGGTCCTGTAGATATTTATATGGTGTTTTTCTTGTTTTCCTGTTTTACTATTTTGTTTTGTTAATTTGTTTTAACATTTTATTATAAGTTACTTTGAAGGAAATTTAAACCAAAACCAGAGTAAAAAAATTCTTACAACAGTATAGATGATAAAAATGTCCAAATAAGGCAGACACCCCACTAAGAACACTTGAGATACTTGAAGTCCTTTCTTACCTTACTAGAGCTGTGATCAATGGAAGGGAAACCAGAACTGCTAATAGGATCTTCATGACTTCAGTTGACTAGGAAGAAAAGTAAGGCTGATTCCCCCCCGCCCCCAATAATCTCTTTTATACTTCACTGGATCACAGCCAGCTGCTTGTCAGGTCAATCAATAGTTGGCGGTCAGTTGTTTGGCAGAACATTTTGGAATGTGCTCTAGAGGTAACCTTTTATTTATGTAAATACTGCAACCCATCAGAACATATAACACGGGGGAGATGGAGACCTGCAGTGAAATATAGCCCCCCATACACACATACGCACGCACACAAATATACATCATAGTCATAAGCCATTTTTATCTTTCCAAGGGCAGAAGAGAGATATCCAAAGAGACAACAGTCCATATAATTATTTCACCTTGCTCCCTCAGAATGCCAACATTGCCCAATGTGAGACCAAGTTTCAAACATCTGCTCCACTGTTTAGTCTAGCTAGAATGCTGGGAAGCAACAAGTCAGAGAAAAGAGGGAAAGACCAACAATCATTAGGTTCTTATGGCTGGGTTACCCCCAGGTATAGGGTTGCCAGGTCCCCCCTGGCCACTGGTGGGGTATGGGGGGGTAGGGTTGCCAGATCCAGGTTGGGAAACTCCTGGAGATTTGGGATTGGAGCCTGGGAAGGACGGGGACCTCTGTGGGGTACAATGCCACAGAGCCCACTCTTCAAAGCATCCATTTTCTCCAGGGAAACGGGTCTCTTTAGTCTAGAGATGAGCTCTAATTCCAGGGAATCCCCAGGTGCCACTTGGAAGCTGGCATCCCTACCCACGTAGCAGGTGCTAGAAATAATGCAGGTCTGCTTCTTTCTACGTTGTCTCCTTTGTTTGTTGACTATTCTTTCAGGCAGCTACTTCCTCCAGCAGACATAATGCTGTCCTGAGTGTCAGACATGCTTAACTTGTTCTGATCACTCCAGGCACCAAACCAGCCTCTGTCTTCCTAACCTCAGCTGCCAGAGGCACCTCTCATTTAACAAGCTATTCCCTGCTGGACATCCTATGCTGGTGTGCCAGTTGATGGAGGAGTTACCATCCAGAATTTCCCCAACTGCATTCACACCATTGCCCTTTTTCTTTTAGGATATGTCTACATCCCCCGATTTTGTTCTGAGATATATTTTGCTAGCACCAGAAGCATAAATGAGGAGCAGTGGACTGGTGGAGTTGGGAGAATGACATGGCAGAGAGACAGAGAGGGCAAAAACAAGGGAGAGCTTTTGTGAGTGGGAGTTATCTCTAAACCTAACTCTGTTGTCTTGTTCCTTCTAGCTGTGTAGAACAACATCAGTATAAGCTAGTGAAAAGCAGTGTTACTCTTTTCCTAGGATGTTATCATAATTTAGCCCTCTTTATACTTTCTAGATCAGTGATCCTCAACCTTTCCAGAACTGGTACCCACTGAGCTGAAAGCATGTCATGGGAAGTTACATGACATCACAGCCACATTATGTCATGTGACAGAAAACAAGAAGGGCCAGGGATAGGACACATGAGTTGAGGACTCAATTATTCTCAGAAGATATCCTGGGACATTCTTTAATGTTTGGATCTCATTAACTCAACTCAAGAAGACTCTGGCAACATGATATATAGCAATCTAAGGTCATATTAACTTATTTTGATAAACTAGATTAATGATTAAACTGTGAACCAGGTGCCCCTCCCCACCATCACACGTTATTGTTCAGCACAGTATTTAGGACTGAAAACTTTTGGTTGGTAGGGTAATCTGATTTACAGAGAATTATGACAAGAAGCATAAAGGAAAACTGTGCCCCATAAAAATCCATATTTCACAATAAGGAAAGACAAATTCTGGCTGCCAAATGAGCCTGATCTTGCCAAGGAATTTATATTTGTCCATTTTAAAGATATACAGATAGCCCAGGCAAGCCCAAACTCATCAGATCTCAGAAGCTATGCATGGTCAACTCTGGCAAGGACTTGGAAGGGCAACCTCCACGAAATACCAGAGGTGGGATGCAGGGACAGGCTAATCAAGCCACCTCTCTGAAAAACGTCCAAGACCCCAGTAGGGGTCACCAGAAGTCAACCATGACTTTCAGGCAAGTAAGGATACACAGATATATCTGGAAATATATAGGTTCTGAGACCTAATCTATTTTTCTTTTGTGTCCTTTAATCTTTATACTGTTTTATTTGTAAGTGGCTCTACCCACCAGCTACTTAGAACTGAAGCTTGCCACACTGATCTTGCTCGCGTTGAGCATCTTCCCCCTTCCAAAGACAGCTTGAGAATTTTGCTAACCTTTGACAACTCTCTGATTCCAAAGAAGCTTCTCAAATTATGAACATGATTGTCTCCTTTTGATATCTTTGCAACTAGAGTTTTTTGTGAGGAGCCCCCTTCAACCATAGTTGCCTGAGTTAAATTCAAATAATCTGGACTTAATAGATCTTGTCTCTGCATCCCGCTACACAACCAACTTTGAATGTTTTAGACAACTTAGCTGCTGTAACTGGGTTACATTCTGTCAAATCCTCAGATGTCCAGCACAAAGGGGACCAAAAAAATATTCTATTTACTTTGGAACTTCTCAAAAACTCCCTTCACAAATTACAGTCTACCACTGACCCTTTGAAACTCTTCCTTTCTAAAAGCCATAATGTCAGTGAGTCAGTATCAACTGTGCGGGAAACTCAGGGAGCTCAGGAAACCTCTGATGCCAGTATTATGGCTACCATAGAGAACAACCCAATCCAACTGCATAAACTGGCTAGCACAACTTCTGCCGTGCAACCTAAATTGGATGATCCCCATGACCAAATGATTCATTTCAGCCTAGAAAGTATGACTTTATCACTACATGGCTTTCTACTGATATAGCTTGCCTGGTTACAAGCAATTATAGAGCCTGTAGCATATTTGTGTTTTTAATAAAATGTTCCTTTAAAATGGATGTGGTCAATTATGGACTCGACTGGCTTTCAAGCAAGGAAACCTTTACCTTTAACCTCAAACAATACAGCTGTTTTGAGTTTTAATCCAGGCTCTATAACAACTATTGAACTACTTTGGTAAGAAATATTGTATTTTTGAATTTTTGTACTTTTGCAATTTTGTATTTAATACATAAATTGTAAGCACATTAAATTGTGATTCTTTTATAGGAATGACTGTTACCTCTCTGGCATTCACATATCTTGGAGAGAGAAAAAATATTTGTATCATTATTGATACTAGGTAAGTCTAAAAATATATTTGTACTATTGATACTTGGTAAACCTCAATTGCACATTTTTCATCTTGCATTAAGATACTTATATGTTTATATGGTTTAATTTATGGAATTTGCACAATTTTTTCAGTTCACTGAAGAAGTTTAATGAAACAAGTAATCCTCGTGTGATTCTTCTTTCAGATGATTCTTTTTCAAATTATTCTTCTTTCCATGTTGATTCATACTGTATTTATTTTTTGAATATTATATTTGTATATTTTTGTACATTTTAGCAGATGAAAATAATTGCGCACAATATGTAAATTGAGTATAATTAGATGGAAGGGGAAAGCAGGCAATCTCCATTTTACATCTTAATCCAAGAAACATGCCATGGGGACTATATACACCTAGAAGGAAATTGTTACTTCTCCATTCCGGGCGGCTATTGGGCACACTGGTCATCTGAGAGCGGGTCTATGCTTTTTAATATCAGTGCTGTTATTCCCCAAATCAGCCCAGCTGTCATCCTGTCTTCCTTTTGCCTAAACTATTATTTAAATTAACTGCTCTTTGTTGATCACTGTCAATGTATATTTACCCTCTTGTAGTTGTCACACAGATCTACTGACCCTGAATGAGTACCTAGCAGATCTTGAGACAGAATACCCCTAAGACAGAACTCCTTATAGAGGAAAAATTTAATGCAAGAATTAGAAAGATGACCTATCCCTGTGTACTGCCCTAGAAACTGATCCGAGTTACTCCTTTTTCTTTTCCTTTTCCAACATAAGATGCTCCGAAGACACACAGATGAACCCAGTGGGTTACTTCCTAGCGAATTTTATTATGTCCACTGGCAGATTGATCTTGAATGGATCTCCCCAGCATGATTTTCTAGGTGAATTTACTTCTAGCTCAACACAAAGATCAAGTGTTATTGATTATGTCATCTTATCACCCTACTTAAGAAAGCTAGACAGGGATTTTTATGTAGATGATTGCATAGAGAGCAACCACTTTCCATTGATTATTGTCCTTGAATATGAGTGCTCCCAATCACCACCATTTACTAACAACACATCAGAGAGCATAATCCTCCTATTAAAGGGTTAGCTGGAATCAGAAGATGGGCGAGGAGATCACTAAGGTACTTGACTCTGAAACTGAACTGAAGCAACAATTAATCAATGCCCAAAATGTGTCTGCGGCCCACATTCATTTCAGGGAACTTATTAACATAATTAAAACTTTCTTTGCCTGGCGATCTACTGCCTGCAGACATAAATAAGAAATAAATCAGACTCTTGGTTTGATGCTGGAAATTGAAAACCCACCTTCAGACCCTCTTCCGTTTTCATCACGACATAGATGCAACTAGACTACCTGCCAATTATTTTGAGCTGAAAAAACAACTTCAGCACACTATCATTCTCAAGAAGAGATCACTGCTGAATAAGAAATGGGATCTACTAATCAATGGCTCACTAACTGATTATAAGAAACAATTTTGGGCTCTAGTCACGGGTACCCTTTCGGACAGAAGTCGCGCTCTCGATTCTCTAGTCCCTCCCCAGTTATGGATCGCTCATTTCTTAAAATTTATTCTATGATCCATCAGCAAGCACTTCTGATTACCAAAACAGCATCCTTCAGGATTTCCCCAAATGGCCTTCCATTACTCCAAAGGAAATTAAATATCTAAACAGTAAACTGCAAACCAAAAAGGGCTCAGGTCCAGATGGTCTCCCCCCAAAAAAAAATTATTCAAGAAACACCTGGGATGGTGGGCCACTCTTCTAGCTACCCTTTTTATTCTTATTGA